GATAGGTTTACTGGCAGGTATCATCAGATGAGGATATTCATGTATAGACCCTCTCCGCAGATCCCAAAGCCATCACCTCGTGCCGCGGCGATTTGTTACGAGAGCGCAGCGTACATCATCCAGCTCAATGCTAAGCAGATGGGGAGTGGCGCAGATCTCACATGGGTTTTCCTTCTGACCGTGAACATGTCCCTCAATACACTCTTATGGACTGTCTCGTATCCAGAGGTGCGCCGAGCGCATCCCCGCCATGAGGTTGAAAACCTCGTTCAGACTTCTATGGAGGTTTTGGATCGTTGTACAGAAAGATGGCCTGGGACTGCGTCCGCCTCTCAACTTTACTCCATTTTCTCGAAAGCTTGTTTACAAGGCTACGATGAACGCCCAATGACGGGACAGGCAGCCGGCTTCTTCACCACGCCCCCTTCCTTCGCGGACCCCAACTCGCCCGAAGCCTTCCAGAACCTTCAACAAGTCCAGGCCCCTTATCAGAACCCACCTCAGTTCAACCATGTATTCAACTCACCACCTGAGGCCATGAATGCTTACGCCTTCGATCCCAACTTCCCTCCACCTCAGCCGAGCTTCAGGTCTAACTCCATCTTCTTCAACCCTGCGAGCAATGAACCTACAGGGCGAAGATTCTCATACTTCCCACCCGACTTTATGCAGCCCGGCGAGACCATGATGGACGACCCAACACCGCCAGCCACCACGACCCCTGAGCAACATATGACATCGCCTCCGGATCACATGTCAGAGCAATTGCCAACTCCTCCTGACAGCATTCCGACCGGCAATCTGACAACACCAACCCCTAGCAATACTTTATCGCCCTCAAACACCCTGACAGCCCATCCTACACCTATTATGCAGCATGCCTCGCCAGCTGGAGTTTCTCTGGTGCCCGTGCAGGCGAACGTGTCTCCTCCTATCAAGATTGAACAATCTCAACGTGGGCCCAATTTTGTTGTACCTCAAAACCCACAGGCTGCACCCACCCAAAGGCCTCTACCAACCCCAAGCGGTATTGGCGATTGGTTCTCGCCTCCTGCTCCATTCATTTCCCCGTACGCTTTCAACAACATGAGCAACAGTTTTTTCAACGATTCCATGGCGAATCCTGGGAACTATGGCGATATGTCAGGCTCTGGTCTTGGGTTACAGAATATCCAAGGCGGGAATGTCCCTCCTCAGTTTGACTATGGTTTTGCTAGGCAGGGTAGCCTTACACAGTCTCAGCAGCTTGAGTTGATGAATGTGCTTGAGACCGAGGGGATGGGAGACATTGATGCGTTCCTCAACGGAGGGAACATATCTAACAGGTGGTATTAAATCATTGCTAAATATAAGATAGGATAGAATGAATCTAGGCAACGGATTGGTTTCACAGGATATGTAAGCATGGACGGCGTTTCTTGGGTATAAAGCATTAGACATTGTCTGCAGAAGGACGCTTGAATTATAGACCTGCTCCTGTTTCAAGTCTTGATTTGTACTGTATGAAATTCATTGGTCATGAAAAGTCCCGCCCCGAGATCGCTTTGTGAAGTACACGAAATATTATCTTCCAGACATCAAGCTTACTCTTCGTCATACAAGGTTCCCGCAAATAGGGGCAGGAAACATACCAGCTAAATGGCAAGAAACGGCAACCAAATAAGTCGGGGGTTAGCAAAGGGTCGTTATAACAGCATATGTTATTTTCCATCTTCAAGGTTCCTCTTCTCTGGAGGAGTAGCCAGTGAGACTGCCCTGCTGACAGGCTTCTTGGTACGCTTCTTACGTCGCGTGGTGCCAGTGACGGGGGGTACTTTCTGCACCCACTGTGCGATAAGGCTAGCCCTCACACTGCAAAGGGGGTAGTCGTTGCTATTTTCGTCAGACCATCCCTTGGGACCTGAATTGTTAGTAGATGTGGCATTGGATGAAGAGCCGTTGGCAGCAGCGGCAGTTGCTGCACGTTCTCTCTCATCGCGCTTCTCTCTGGCCATAAGGGATGCACGGAAAGTAGCATCATCACAGACTCGTTCATCACTAAGAGCTTCGTAGACTCGCTGGTTGTGTTCCCGTTTGAGCTGTCGATCCTTGTCTGCCGCACTTGGTACGGCTGGTCTAGCGTTGTCAGGTCCACCATTGATCAGAGATGCGGCGGCAGCGGCAGCTTCCTTGCGAGTAGTACCGATGTGCATCTTTGAGATATTCTGGGGGAGGGTATCGTATAAGAACGGGAGGGGCACAGGTATGCATAAGGTCTCCCAAGAGGCGCTGAGCTGTAGCCAGTTATCGTCGGCGCGGCGGAGAATTTCGACCCAGTCAGACCGAGCAGAAGAGCGACTAGGTTGAAAGACCGGGTAGCCATCGGCGATACGGATCAGCCTTGCCGCCATGTAGGTGTGGCGTTCAAGCTCCTTGGTCGAAGTTTGGGCTAGGCAGTGACAAAGGAGGAGGGAGTGAAGGGCGTCGGCCATAAGGGGGTGGTAGGTCGACCATTCGCACGTCTGGGGCATATCGAAAAGCGGTGTTTTGCCATTCGATTTTATCACCTCTTGGCTAGGATATGGAGGGAGGTCTGACGGGGGGACGGCGACGAAGAGTTCCGAAATGGCGTAAGTGGTATGTGGCTCGAGAGAGTATGTGGCCTCAGAAGGGCGAGGATGGCGGGTGCCTTTTGCGGAGGAATTAACTCGATCATTAAAGTCCTTTGCGATGGAGGATGGTAAATTGGGCGCGTACTCAAGATGTGACATAAAGGCGAGGAGGTCTCGGATCGCCAGTTTTGCGTACTTCTTGACAAGCTTCTGCGCTTCGGTCTGTTCACGGGGAGACTTTTCTTCAATCTCTGGCGACTTGCGGCCACTGACTTCTGGATCAAAAGCTTCGTCTGGGCTGTGCGAATCGGCATGCCCACTCTGGCTCTGACTTGTCGGGATGCCATCTTCGATATGCTGACATGCCACTGATAGATACGCCGTGCCACGAAGGAACAACAGCTGAGTTTCCAAACTACTCGGTTGCTCTTTTTCAGATGGGATAATGTCCTGCCGCCATCTTCTACCCCGATGTGAATACTGAGAGTCCAGTTCGTCGCCACTTGGTCGATGGGGCTGTTGATGTATTCGACACACTGTGAGAGCGGCCGTCAAGTCATGAGCCGCACCTTCAAAATCCTCCTTGAAAGTTTTGACGATTGCACGTGTTCGGAGAGCTTCGCCCTCGTTGGGCCTCTCGGATATGATGTCTGCCAAAGGCTGAAGACTAGTGGACTCTGCCAACTGACGCGAGGGTATTTTCTCATGAAAGAAATGTACATATTTGGCATCTGGATCCTGTGGGTTACGAAACAGCACCAGCGCCCCAATCTCATCGATCGGTGACGCACCCTGCATTGTTGCAACACTGCAAGCAATCTCATCTAGATGGTATGCACGGCTAAGCTTCTGGCTTGCCTGCTCCCTCATCCGAAACTTGCGCTCGCGGCTCAATTTTGTCCCATGTCCTGGCCCCGTCATTCCCAACACAGACATAGGAGATGCGCCGGGTAGCCCACCATGGACGTTAGTCAACACGGGTGAGGCAATGTCACTAGCAGCTCTCACAGCGAGATTGGTGGCTTCGTCGACGAGACGGCGAATCTTCAGTAGGTCATAGAGGACGGCAGGGTCAATAGGACACGGCCGGGGGGTATTGTAGTTGATGTTGGCAATTGTTTCGAGGATCTCGATAGGCATCTGGAGCCACGGACCGTGGAAAGCGGATATGTATCGCCAATGCCTAAGGTAAAGCGTCAACTCCGTAATCGAATGGATCGCAAATGGCCACTTTGCAGGAAAATCAGCGGCGCATAACCAAACCTACTTGTTCCGGCAAATATTAAGGGTCTGTAAAGACGAAGACGAGGAAGAAGAACCATCCTTGGACGTCTTTGGTTTCTTCTTTTGACTCCCTCCGTTTGTATCCATAGTATTTGAGGTTTGTGGATGCGTTTGCGAAGTGTTGTCCAGGGTCGCGTTCTGCCCCTCACCACCAGGAGCTTGGCTGCCTTTTTTCTTTGCCATTTTTTGCGCTGAAACAGCGGCGTAGGCGAAAAGCGCCAGCAGATGCCTTGTGCGCTGGTACAAAATCTGGAGGCCCTCGAACCGGCTTGATCGCAGACCGCAATGTGTAGATCGATCAAGGCTGTATTCTGGTATCGAAGACGTGGGGTAAGTGTAAAGAATCTAGTTGCGACGACTGCATGGGGGACGAAAGGAAAAGGCTAAGAAATTTCGACTATATTGATGTTGGCTGGGAGAAAGCTCTTGGGATAAAAATTTTGTGGCCCAAAAACAATAAAATCGTCGGAATGCTATTGTGCTTGAACACAGGTAATCGTGATGTTTTTCTGTAGTAAAGCACCAAGGGTGGTTTGGATATGATGCAAATCACGTGAAGGCAGAGTGCTGCGAAGATGCTGAGGAAGGAGTTTCGACGATAAGCGACCTGGAATGTAAGCTACCTTTCCTTGTCAAATCAGAAATATTTATGGATCTGATGTCGCTTATAAGTGAGTGTGCCAGTACTTAACTGAAATAATTGGACTCTCTTTGTCGCGAAAGGTCATGCTCAGAGGTCTTTTAGTTAGGTCTTGTCTGATCATCTTTCCTCTGAAAGCTCTAGTTCCACGAATGTGATGTCTCCAGCGAGAAGATGAAGGAAAGCATGTAATAGACGGAACGTCACTACAATTCTGTGACTGTTGGATAATTGACTGAGCATGGTCAAGATATGTTCTTTATCGTCTCACGGAAACATGAAATCATTAACTTAGGTAAATTAGGAAGTGATTAAGGTGTAGATGAATATAGATCTTCCCTTTTGAGACCCATCCCCAGCGGCTGTTGTAGACAAACACACAAAAACCACCCCGATTCACACAAAGCTCACTTGATGCACACCAAACTCTTCAGCTGGCTCTTCAGTAAAATTCAAATAGATATCAAGCTCTTCCAGCATATATGTCAATGCTCATAAACAAGGTCGCGCTCACTAAACTCCTTTTCGGATGTGAGGTAGGGGAACTTCTCCCGTACCGGTAAATCCTTTGCTGTTCCGAGCAATCGTGGTATTGGTGCGCTTTTTGTCCTGAACTCGTTGGAGAGAAATGATGTAAAGGCCTGTATATCTCGCTTCGTCGTCATGGGGCCGAGACTCGCGCGAACGATTCTGCTCCTGTCAGTTGATGAATTTGATGATTATGGTAAAACATACCCCGTTGGCTTATTATGTATGACTGCCATCTCACTTGAACCACAGGCGTGTCCGCTTGAGAAGATCCTGTCCCATTCCCAGTCCTCATAGTCCAGAGCTTTGGCGACACCGCCAGGGCAGCAAACGCCTGAAGCATAATCGTCAGCAGTGCTAACATGAATCTAGAAGAGGGCCTTACCTCCAGCTCGTATGTATACTCCAGCGCTATTGGCAAGCCTCTCTACCTCCGTCCAGGGGATATATGAACCATCTTCTTTCATAATGTTGAAGGCAAAAGTTGGCCCTTGTAGTGAAGGATCGCCATACATGTATGGGCTATCAACATATAGCTCGATCAATGGAGATCCGTTTCGGTGCTTCAGGTCCACGAGACGTTCATACAAGTGGCGAGCGAGATAACAGCAATGACGAGATATCGTATCCTGCGACCAACCGTCAGTTAATCTCAATACTAAAGTGACATGGCAACTCACCATTGAGCCATAAAGCCTTAGGTGTGTATCAATGGCGACTCCAAGCGCCAAGATACTGTGAAATGGCAGTGTGCCATCCTCGACACCTTCATGTATATCCCATATTTTGTGCAGATCCCCCAGCCCGGGAACTTTCTTCATGACCCGGGAGTCTTTTGAGGGGGATAACTGAGCAATTGTTCCCCCGCCAAAGTATCTCCTCAGGTTCAGTATATGTCCAGATGCCCGCCTAACAACCAATGCTCCCAAATCAGGAAAGCCAAATATCTTGTAAAACGAAAGGCAAGTGAAGTCGGGTGCATCCATCGGATCGTGGAACAGGCAGCTGAGGGAGCTAGTCATAGCGAGAGCCGCAGCATCGAAAAGGGTATAGACATTTCGAAGCTGAGGGTGTTGCCGTATTCTCTTCGACCAGTCCTGTGGTAACCGGCGTCCACTAAGATTGGACTGGCCTGGATATGCGAATAAGCCCAGACTGGTCGATTTTCCTCTTCGGGACTGGCAGCTGAAAGGCCGCGAGATCCATTCTTCAACACTCTCATCATCTTCGAAACAATGATAGTCTCCTGACGTAAGTGCGCGAACCCCGATGATGCTCGTGTGGGATTCCTTGTGACATCCATACCAAAAGCCCTTGGTAGGGGTCTTCTCTCCGATGTCCCGAAACGCGTCAGCAACGAGCTTGATAGCAGCCGTAGCATTGGCGACGAAGACCAGGTCGAAATACTTTGGATCAGCGCCAACGAAATCAAGAGCTTTTGCCCGGATATTATCAACCATATCACCCGACAACTTTGCCGGGAGATTCTCTGAGTGCGGATTGCCCCAGAGGTTTCCAATCATTGCTTGGGAGAAGCCGGTTATAAGGGATCGCGCATATATGGTAGCTCCTCCATGATCAAGATAAGCCCCTGTAAGCAAACGTCAGCGGATCTGGGGATGAAGAACCAAGGAGTCAGACTGGCACACCTTGTGCCATGTTGGGATACTCGTATTCTCGGAAATCCTCGACCGACGAGTTATATTCCATGTCTGGAGAACGTATATCTCGCTCTGAACGATGTTTGAGCGCTGTATTTGTGTCTGCCTGAGCACGTAGTCAGTCTCCTTCCAAGATAGACCGATAGGTGGCTCTGGATTACAAAGCTGACGTACCATGACTGAGGGGGCCATAGAGGCAGTTGATTGACTAGCAGCTGTGTTTGGGAAGGGAGAAAGACTTCCACGAGTATTAACGGAAGATGAGACAGTCTCGGAAGATAAACAAATGTTCAACGATAAGAACCATCGAGATCGGTCAACAAGTACTTTAATTGACTTTGCAGGCAAGGAACCATGATCAAGGGACATCTGGGGATAGGTCACCACCTGGCTCACAGCCGCTCACCAACCAGAATCAATATATGACACAACTCTGATCAGATCAGCCCGGTTCCTCGGCTTGGCCTGCATCTGTATCTGCACGTCCAAGCTAGGGCAGTTTCTCGTTTTGACCCTTTCCATGTGATGGAACATTCCCGAAGTGAATACTGGTCTGCTACCCAAGGCCAAATCAAGGAAGCAATGCTGATTACAGACAGTAGCAAGGGTTTGAAGAGATTTCGGCCAAGAGCTGCTTGACTTCTCAAAAATTGAGAACCTTGAACCTTGCTTGCATGTTGACTGATGCTTTTCATGTTGATGAGCTGAACAGCCTGGGTTCCAGCTGAAAGAAGAGATGGATGCAGCTAAAATCCTTAGGCTTGGCTGGTCAGCTCTAGTGATTCTTACGTGCGCTAGGGCCGGGCCTCGAGAACGATGATTTGGGGGCAGAAGTGCACTAAAATAGATGCAAGTGCGAGAGATCCATGGTTGCCCAGCATCCACTCAAAGGATGCGCGCAATCCCAGTCTCGATGCGAGCAGGGGTGTAAGAGAGTCCGGAATATTCTACAGCAATCGACTGATAACACTGCTCAACGAAGAAACAAGAAATATTGCTTGAAATTTATCTTAATGCCTCACCTATTACATTGCTCCTATGAGTCACGGTTCGTAGTTAATTCTGGAATGCCCTGGACGCATAAATTGATAACCTCGATGGGATAGTACATCTACCCTAAGCTCCTCACAATAAATATAAGGTAATTACAGTTAGGGAAAGGTCAAGGGGCTTTTGCAAGGTCCCTGTCAAACTAATGGAATGGAATGGAATGAGAGCCTCCGAGACTTCCATTTAAGAAATGGATCAGCATTTCTTACCTAGTACCTATACCAGTATGTACCTTGATACCTATCAACTTATATCCTTGAGGTCCAATGCCTGATTCAATTGGCTAAGGTAGTGATAACTGGAACATCCGCGCCATACACTACTGGTCACCAACCTACATGGTAATATTCCCTAACCACCGATTTGCGTTAATTTTCACTTGGACATGCGCCGTAGTCGTAAAGACAAGTTTCAAATAGGATTCCTTTGTATTATGTCTGCTTGTCGACAAACTAGAACACCCTGCAGCTCCTATCAATCAAGCTTTGTTCAAGGAAACAGCAATCTGTTTCCAAACAAATCAGAAACTTTCGGGTTTCTCAACGAACTGAACTGAAATCGCCCCTCGCATCAAACACAGTTTCATCATCAACTCCCTCACATTGCAAGAATGAGAGCAAAGACACCAGCCAGGGCAAGGTTGATCGGGAGCGTCGCAGACGAGGCACCGTTGGGACTAACAACGCTAGTCTCAGTAGAAATAGGCTTGCCGCCAGTGCCACTGCCTGTGCCTGTGCTTGACGGAGTAGGAGTGTTCGTCTCAGGGTTGACTGTCTCAGTCGGTGTTGGGAGGTAAGCTGGGGCAGTGTAGTTCGAGTCGATAACACCCGGGTTCAGGTTCACAAAGTTGGCGCATGTTAGACGGGTCTTGTTGGCATAATGAAGAACAAACGACCGGTTGCCAAAGTAGGCCCCGATGCCTTCTTTGGTGGAGGCGTAGTAGTCGATGTAGTCGGCTGTGAAGGGGTCGCTGGTGATCTTTCCATGCTTCCCACTGTTGTCTCCAACCTGACAAGAGGCAGGCTTCTCAGGGTCACAGGGAGGCTCCTCGCCACGAGCGAAAGGGTCGAGATGGGCGAGAGTGGCGGTACAGTTGCCGTTCTCGGGAACAGGTTCAACGTGGATATGGTATGCTATGGCAGAGTCAGCTACAGTCTGGCTGAGCGATAGTCGAACAATTACTGAAGGGACCTCCCTCCTTGGGAAGGTTGCTGAACTGGACCTTGAACTGGACGCCGTGTCCATCGCTCGGAGCTTCAGCCTGGATAAAGCCCTTGGCGTTGCCTTCGATTGCGGCATCTTTGAAGAAAGGCTCCTTGGGAAGGGTGGCCTTGTATTTGACACCAATAGGGTTGTCGTTGACTCTGGGAGCATCGTGAGAGTCATCCTGACCAAAAACCTGCCCGGCAAGCGCCGAGAACAGGACGGCCACCATGGCTTGAGTGCGCATTTTGAGTGAGATTGTAAAGCTGTGCAATCTGTGTAGGCAATGCTGTGTGTAAGGCAAGCAGGTGCGACTATGACTAAAGACCGTCGAGGCGAAGTAAGAGTAGAATCTCGATACTAAAAAATTACGAGCGAGTGAAATGACCACTAGGGCCCGATAGAATTATTTAGGTGCTGAGACTTGCTCAAAAGTGAATCAACGGATCCAGTCTTAGGTTGAGATGAGATGATGAACGGCAGTGACAATGACAGTGGCAGTGGCAGCCGAAGCTATATATAGCGTGGGCGCTGAAGCTTGCCAAGAGCGTCATCACTACGCGATAATCCTAGAGGATAATTGAACCTGGATTGGTCAAAATGTCAACAGCTCTCAGTACAAGCCGCATAAACGAGGAAATGCTAAAGTCCCCAATCCGTGTTGGGCAAAGCCTGGCCTGAATTTGTGCAGCAAGCAGCAACCAAAAAGAGGCTCTTTACCTCCACTCCCAACGAATGAATTGCCTAGCAAATAACGCGGGGGGAAGATACGATCCATTCTAGGCCCGGTAGCAAGCAATAGTCTCCCTGTGCCGAGATATCTGTCCAACGATTGGTGGCCACAGGGGACAGCCCGTATTCACGAGCGACGTGGCTTAGGCTTTGCTCGTTTCAACGGACACGGCGCCATGCGTTTGTTCACTTTTTGATTCAACGGCTATGACGGCCAAGCACAGCAGGGGCATCAGCGGACAGCCCAAGCCCTTTGAAAGCTCTTCGGCACACGGAACCCCGTGTTTGCCAGGAGGGGTGCTGGGGACGGTGCATCGCTGACAGGCGACAGACAGCCAACAAGCAACAAGGGAGGGAGGGTTGCGTAACCTCACACGGCGTCTAAAAGCAACATCCATCTTACTAAGTCCTGGCTTGGGATCTTACTACTTGTGTCGCTGTTGCACAACAAGCAAAACGTGTGCGTAATGATGGCATCACAAATTTCCTTTTAATGAGATGCTCTCAACTTCCGAGCCTTGGTATTGCCTCATTAGGGCCACTTAGCTCAAGTCTCTGACAAGGCCGTCATCTGACGGAATAGAACCCTCCGTGGTAGCTCTCTTGATCAGTAGTTTGGCGATCATCAACATGGCGCCTGCATGTTTCGTTTCGTTTCGTTTCGTGTTGAGCTCTGGGCAGAGGTGTGCCGGAAGCTATTGGAGCGTGAAGCACAGAGCTTAAATGCCAAGGTCGCTCAAGATACCAATACATTTCTGCTATAAAGAGTACTAGTCAGAGGCTTAACCTTTTTGGTGGGCTCCAATGTTAGTAGCCGCCCAGCCATAATTCTTACAACCTTCATTACGACGAGACAGTTCAGTTAACCTCCATGATTAAGAATCAGAGAAATAGTTACGCAATTTAAGTGGTGATGGCTAGACCACACACCTTGTTGGTTGTATCGCAGGTTTCAGAAGTAGTCAAACTGCGCGCCATGATTGTGGTTGCGTCTCGTCAGCCAAGAAAATAGCACAATTTCAATGTTACACTTCTGAGCACGAATTCCGGCTTGAGGAAGATCGTCAACTAATCTTTCGGATTTCGCAAGGTTCACAACCTAGACCGCGTGTAAGTAAGCATCTTAGGGTATATTGTTAGCACTGTTTGCTATGCTGTGGACCTAGCCAGCACCAGAACAAATTAGAGAAAAACCAACATAGAATAAACACAGAGACATGCACCTTGCACCTACCCTTAGGTACCCGATAAAAATAAAAGGTACGCACCGGAATGGAAATTTCAAGGTATGCCTAGCCCGTCCGTGCCTGTCAAGATCTGGCTGGATATAGTGGCGCATTCAACATGTGGCGGTGCTTAGTAGTGGCTCATTCTCCAGCCTTGTTGCTGAGGCAGGAAAGGAGCTAAACGGCGACATTGACGCATTACCACCAACAGCAACGGAGCTATAGCTGCGACCCAGTATCAACGTCGCAACAACAATCCATCACCACCATACCCATAGCGATACATCGATTGGTCAACAACACTTGAGCCCTTTCTATATACGCCCATCATGAAGCCCGTCGTCAGCGCCTTTAACGCGTGGTCATGGTTCGCCAATTCCTTTGAACTGCCTTGACTTTGTCATGATGAAGCTAACATGAAACTTCCAGCACCGTTCTCTCCGTTTTCGCCATTGTTATCCTCAGCGCTCTCGCGGGCCTCTACCGAAGCAACCATGAAGAATTCACGGGCGGCGTAGATGATCCCGAAGATGGCAAGGCAGTTTCAGACACCATCTTCATCGCCGTCCTCGTCTATGTTGTACGTCCTTCCTCGATCAAACAGATTGGCTATCCGTAACCCGAACCCAATCCTGCATCTTACTGACAGTAATAGGCTTTCTTTGTCTTTTGTGGCTTCCAAGGATTCCTCCATACCCGAGAAAGCCGTCGAGGCGCGATTGCTCTGTAACAATACTACCGATCGGCGAGCAGAGCACGACACGGAACCTGGCGTCCTGGATATTTTTATTGATTTGAGTTTGGAATGGTATTGTGTTTGAAAGACGAACATTATAGTTGCATGGGCAAAAGAGAAGATCAGACGAGATGATGATCAAGACTACGCGTATACAGTCCATAGGCACGCTATGTACGGGATATTCTTTGGCTTAGACGGTTTATTCAGTTTTTCTTCCTGCTATTCATCTTGCATTGTAGCCTGCTGTCTTGTGTGGCTCAAATCATATTACTATGTGGGATGAGCCGGCCAGTGCTACGCATGTTCAAGCTTGGTTTGCTGTAGCTATGTTCGTTCGCTTGACCACCTTTTCGGTATCTCAACTGAAAGTGTCAATCCGCAAGTGCGCAGATGGGAGGGGAAGTAGATGCTCCACGACGCATCCGTACTTCGTGCAACAATGGGATTCCCTGGCGAGGAGCGTCGCCGGGACATCACGATTAGGCGACGGGCCGGCACAGTGGGGCCGCTCCGGACAGTGCCGAACGGATGAAAGGCGTCGGCGGCCGTCCGAAAGTCCCATTGTTTGCAGCTTTATACGTCACAGCAATCTCATCGACATTGGGTTTTTGAACAAGGTACCGCACATATGTGCCCCTCTTTTTAGAACAAGATCGTCATATTCGCGACAAGATAGCGAAAGGGTCATAACCATCGTGCCAGTGTCCGCTGGCATAAGCCAGCGTACGACCATTGGTCGATAGCTCAATCTTTCAGGCAACTGATAGAGGAGCACCCCCATCATGAAAAGCCAAACGCCAGATTAAAGAAAGAGCTGTCAGCACGGATGCGCATTCTTGCTTGGCTGGCCCCGTTATTGTGACGAAGAAATGTTCAACCCTGACTGTAGTGTCGTCATCGATCGATCTTCATCATGATTCGGATCGAATGCTCCGTGTGTTCTTGTGCGACGAGTATTAAAAAGAGGAGGTTCTTCCGAGTGATATAGAAAGAATTTTCAATTCCCTCCAGCTCGAGAAGTTCATTGTACAATTGACTATAATCCAGCCGCTAAAATGACGACTCAAAACTTCAAGAATGGTGAGTTCTCCCTTCCTACTTTCAACAATTCAACGATGTAGCAACTGACCAAGAAATAGAGAAGGATATCCCCGTCTCTCACCAGGAATTCCCTGGAACTGAGAGGGAGATGCCCGACCCCAAAGCCACTCGTGACGAAGTACCTGAGGCCGGCGGCAATTCGAGGACATACCAAGGCTCTGGAAAGCTCAAAGGCAAAAAGGCACTGATCACTGGAGGCGACAGTGGCATTGGTGCTGCTTCTGCTCTTCTGTTCGGTCGAGAGGGCGTTTCGGATATTGTCATCGCCTATTTACCAGAGGAAGAGAAGGATGCTCAGGACACCAAAAAGCAGGTTGAGAACGAGGGTGCCAAGGTCCATCTTATCTCTCTCGACCTCTCGAAGCAAGAGAACTGCAGGAAACTTGTTGACTTTGCCGTGGAGAAAATGAATAGAATTGACATTCTATTCAACAATGCAGCTTGTGAGTGTATCTGACAGTATCGAGTATATCGAGCATATCTGATAATCGATCTAGACCAGATGATGGTCCAGGATATCAAAGACCTCCCCGAGGAGCAATGGATCCATACCTTCAACATCAACATCCACTCCTTCTTCTATATCTCCAAATATGCCCTCCCTCACATGAAGGCCGGAGCAACTATTATCAACAATGCTTCCATCAACGCCTACATCGGTCGCCCTGATCTCCTCGATTACACATCCACAAAGGGTGCGATTGTTTCATTCACCCGCGGTCTCAGCAATCAATATGTCAGCAAGGGCATTCGTGTTAATGCTGTCGCTCCTGGACCCGGTACGTTAAGCTGATCTCACCAACGTGTGATACGACTAACAATACATAGTTTGGACACCTCTCATTCCCGCCACAATGGACGACGAAGCGCAGAAGCAGTTCACAAGCCCCATGGGACGACCTGCTCAGCCATCAGAGATTGCTACGTGCGTGGTCTTCCTGGCGTCGAGTGACAGCTCGTGTGTTAGTGGACAGACCATCCACTGCAATGGCGGTACCGTTGTGAATGGTTAAAATAGGGAGAAGATAGAACGATCGAGTAATGACACTAACGAAATATTAATCTAAGAATAAATATTGCATCTTTAGTTCCATTGCCCTGAAATGTATTTAAGTGTACAGTGCAGAACTTCAATAAGTTCCACTGTATCTAGTCCCTTTTGCGACGACTTCCCTCATATGTACCAATTCCACCTTGTGAATGACCCTTTAACAATGAATATGGTTCAAATTTCAGCTTCGTAGTTCCCATCTTACACTCTCATATCTCATTTCAGAGAATTTGTTGCTCAAGGTTACTTCCCCTTGTCCTCACCACTCTCAACAACCTGGCAGCCTTCAAGCTCAAGAGCTGACATGAGATGAGCAGCTCAAGACAACCACCAGTTTATTTCGAAGATACAGCTCGGCATGAGGCTCATAAACACACACACTCTTCAGCTTGAGTTTTATCCTGGTGGGTCACGTCGATATGCCATTCTATCCCACGTCTGGGGTGATGATGAAGTCACTTTCAAGGATGTTGATTCAAATGGTCCCGAGGAGGCCCTTCATCTTGAACGTTATAGCAAGCTACGCGAGAGCTGCAGAAAGGCACGCTCTTTTAATTTGGACTATTTATGGATAGATACTTGTTGTATCGATAAAAGTAGCAGTGCCGAACTTTCTGAAGCTATCAACTCGATGTTTCGTTGGTATGCTGAATCGACCATCTGCATCGCCTTTCTTGAGGATGTTCTCCCCTCAGAGTCTGAAGAGGAACGGAGAAAGACATTCATAAACAGCCGTTGGTTTACCAGAGGCTGGACACTTCAAGAGCTCATCGCACCGGGAAAGGTCATTTTCTATGGAAGAGACTGGCAGCGGTTGGGTAGCAGAGCTGAGCTCAAAGAAGACATAAAGAGTGCCACTGGGATTAATTATGAGCTTCTCGACGCAACACATCATATGGTGGAGATCAGGCAACGTCAGCTTAGTGAGTTTTCTGTCGCTCAGAAGATGTTCTGGGCTGCTGGACGCGAGACAACGAGGCCAGAAGACATTGCTTATTGCCTACTGGGTATATTCGATATTAACATGCCTTTGCTCTATGGGGAAGGTCAAGCTAAAGCTTTCAAGCGGCTACAAGAAGAGATTCTTAAATCTACCGATGATGAGTCAATTTTTGCTTGGCGGCAGCCTCGATATCGGGTCGAAGGGAAAACGTATTGGAGCCTTCTTGCAAACAGCCCTTCAGCTTTCGATCTCGGCCAGACCTCAAAAGATCTTAATGGCATGGTGCCTCAGAGATCCAAATACCTATCTCTTAGGTCAGGAAGTTCAATGTCTATGACAAACCGTGGACTGGATTTAGAGCTTCCATTAACGCCGTTCCCAATCGATACGTCTGGGACCATTTTCTTGGCCTTCTTGAACTGCGAGTTTCGAAGAGGCCAGACATCAATCAACCCGGCTATCCTCCTTCAGAGGGCAGCGTGGGACAGAAACTCACACTTTGTGCGGATTAGACCAGATATATTAGCGTTGTCCATGATGAACAGCATCATTCTTCCAGATGAACTCTTGAACATGATACGAAGTGGCCAAAAAGATGTTCTGCAGGAGGCCATCCCGCGACAGATCTTCGTGCCACACAGTACTCCGGACCTCCGATACTTGAAGGGTGTGATATTTCGCCCGGAGATGAAGGGCCTTGCAAAGGAGAGTAAGATGGTTGTCAGAGTGCGCTCACGATCACCAACATGGCAATATTTTGTCGATGCTCGAAGCGGTCCCTCCACTACGCCAGAGTCATATGAGATTAACTTTGACTTAGCACCTGGTCCCTCACTTGGGTCGTTACAAGCATCCATCGTTCTGGGAGTGTTGGAGCTTGACCTAGGAAGTTCAGATGCCAGGCAGTGCTTGGTCATGGGATTAGAGCCCTTGCCCCCAAACCCGTTTCAAACGATGCCTCTTTACTTTTCACCGTGGTACGCATTTGAAGAACAGACTTGGATTGCAAAGCAGGACTTTTCAAGAGTTTTGGACAAAACACAGCGAAGGCTGGAGTGGAGAGTTCCAGATATCGTGACGGCGAAAATTGGAATTGAGAGCAGGTATTCGAGTCTATTCTATAGTTTGACTTTGGAGATTGAGAACAGCCGGAAAGTCAATACCTGGTTTTGAGGATACATACCGACTTCTTTCGGGATTTCGCTTGTTAATACTATACAGGAACATCTGTCATTTCCAGCTCGGTGTGAACTGCTTCTGGCACCTCGAACGGCCTCTCCTTGAATATCAGATCCATACCCAGCAGTTCTTCGTCGGTGATGCCTGGCCGCTCATCGATCGCCCTCTTCAGCTCACGTGCCTTATCCGTGACATCCTCAATCTCAACAATCCATTCATTCGCCCACTGCTCACTTAAGGCTCCTGGAATGCCAATTTGAACACTCCTGTATGGCAGTACCTCTAGCTTCGCTGTCCTCTCAGGATCCCACTGAATCCTCACATCAACCGTCTTCTCACGCTTCTCGCCAGGGCTGAGCTTATGAGCGTGGCTTGATAGCACACCTCGCTCAAGGAGGGTGATGAAGTGCTCGTGTTTCATTCGCAAAGCCAAGATGCGCGATTGGCCAGGGTCTTTGTAAGAGTATCCGGAGCGGTACATCATCCATGCCCAACTGGGCTTGATCCACGTCATTCGACCTGATTTGAAATCTGGGGATGCATTGAGCTTCTGCGTATCTACAGCAGCTTTAGCAATGGATTCTTTGTAGGCTTGGTACACTGTTATAGTGGTGTCATTGTAATATGCACGAACTTGGCGATAGGGAGTGACTGAAATTGCTGTTGACATTATGGAAGGCGATTTAGGTGGATAATATCTGTTCGAGGATGATAAGG